CAAGATGGCACTTACTTAAACAAATGCAAATAGGAAGAGGAAACCGATCACAATGACTGACTCATCTTTCCCCCACCCCCACCCCACGAACAACAGGAACCGTGGGGAAAGGGAGATATCGGTCAGTATACGATATGAGAATAATAATAATTTATAATTTTTCAAGGGGACACAAAGGGGGGCAGAGGGAAAAAAGAGGAGCGATCCCAAGGGCTCAATCGAAAGTAAACGTTTAGAAAATAATGATGGCAACATATGCTTGATACAATTGATGTATGGATTGTCATAAGAGCTTTAAGAACCCCCAATAAAATGATCCTTTAATAATTTAAAAATCTTGTTGCCCTACAATTTCCCCACTTGGTATATACTCCAAATAAATAAGAGATAAAATACAAACAGATATATGCGCACCCATGTTTACTGCAGTGCCTTCGATGCTATGAAAAAGATGAAAACAACCAAAACACCCGTGTGTGAAGGATGGAAACGTCGACTCTGGTACATTTATACAAGGGGACATTCTGCCTCTCTACAAAGCCTCGGGACATGAACAAGTCTGGAAGACCTGCCTTAGCAGTGCTAGTCAGTCTCATAGGAGAAACACTTCATGGCTCCATCATGATAACGGAAAAGAAAACCGGGAAAGTGGGTTTTACAACAAAAGAGTCAGATGATGAAGGCACTGTGAGGATGAGGAGGCTGGAGGGGGAGAGAAGGAAGAAAGGAGTCTGGGAGGGAAAAGATAAAGGGACCACATTCATGGGGAGTCTGGTGAGGAGCACTGGACAACTGTGCTTTATGTTTTCCCTGCATGCATCCTCTGCCCCCAATAAAAGTGGGGGTGGGAGGAGAGGGCGAGGTCACAGCCTGCACGCCCTCCAGCTTCTCACCCATTAGACCTAGACACTGGTGGGCGTGGTTCCAAACGGGAAGGGAAGAAAACTGAAGCTGACTTCAATGCTTTTGTGGCAAGTGGCTACTTTCAAATAAACAAACAACAAAAAGATCTCTTTAAAGTGCTCAAAGGCAAAGACGCACCTGGCCCAGGTTACAGTATTTTTTTCCTCTCCTTTTATGCATGTGAAAGATGAACAATGAATAAAGAAAACAGAAGAATTGATGTCTTTAAATTATGGTGTTGTAGAAGTGTTTTGAATATTCCGTGAACTTCCAGTAGAATAGATGAACAGATCTACATTTTGTCAAGTACAGTCAAAATGCTTATTAAGAAGTGAGGATGGTGAGACTTTCAGCAGATGGGATTGACACAGAGGATACAACAATGGCCTTAAATGTAGGAACAAGTGTGAGGTTGGTGGTGGTCTGGGCAGTTTTGTTCTGTTGTACAAAGGGTCACCATGAACCAATTTGCTTACACCTAAAAGCAACAGCAACAATGGTTCCTTCCCTTTGCAGGGGGTGGCAGTGGTAACTGGTTGGCAAGGGGAAATGGGAAACCTTTCTCCAGGCTGCTAACATTCTAGATCTTTTCAAGGATAGTTGTTGCAGGTGTACAAGTAGAAATGTAAAAATCTACAAAGCTGTATGCTTGAAATTTGTGCTCCACACTCTATGTTACTTATACCCCAGTCAAAACAAACACACAAAACCCCGCAAAAGTACTATTTTATACATAGGGAGGCTTATAAAACATGGACAATGTCCAGGCTTCCCTCATTATCTCAAGGCACCCGATTATCTCAGCACATAGCGCCTCTACTACTGCTGGGTCCTCACACTGCAAGGCAGCTGCTCAAAGATCTCTTCACATTAGCACCCACAGGTTGCCTTCATGTAAATCAGTTTCTATTTTGTGCAATCAAAACAATTACAAAAACAAACTGGATGTTGGAATGGCAAGGTTTTAGAGATGGAAGCCAGATAACATGGTTGGTCATGCTTAGGAGAGAGGAGGGAGGGCGCATGTGACTGCAAATGAACAACAGGCGTTTACCTCTTGGGGGTGACCGGCAGCTCTCCATCTTGGTTGTGGTTGTAGTGCTGGTGGTGGTGGTTAGACAAATCTACACATGGAAAACATGTCGTAGGACTGACAGCATACAAAAAAATGAGTGCTTGAGTCAGAGTTGAGGTCTAGTTACCTGTATTATGGCAATCAGTTTCTTGTTTTCAATAAATGCATTGTAGTTAAGTGAGCTGTTACCAGCAGGGGAAGCTTAGTGATAGGTATAAGATCTCTCTGTATTGTTTTAGCAACGTTTTATACTTTTATAATTCTTTCTTTTGAGGGGTAAACATAGATCATTAAATTGGATTGCTCTCAGACTTCTAGAACTCCTGTTCTCAAGTGTTTCTGCCCATCAAGTCACCCCTTTGTTCTTACATGTAAATTGTGACGTGTTAAAATAAATCAATCTATAGCAATAAACCACCATATAAAAGTTTAAGAAAGAAAAAATGTTAAATTCTCTGTAAAAATGGACAATCATTGGTGTTGTGGATTGAATTGTATCCTGTCAAACTATGTGTTGAAATCCTAACCCCTGTATCTACAAACATGTTCATGTTTGGAAATAGAGATTTTACCTTGTTATATTAATGAGGTTATATCAGTGTCTAGTTGATCAAAAACCTAGTCACTTCTGAGTTATTAAAAGAGCAAAATAGACACAGAGACATACACAGTGGAAGAAAGACATCAGGGAATGCCAAGAAATTCCTAGACCCACCGACAAGGAATGACCTCCCACTAGAACCAAGCCCTGAATTCAAACTTTTAGCCTCTGAAATTATGAGAAAATTAACTCCTGTTCTTTAAGACAGGTACTGTGTGCTATGGCAGCACTTCATAACTGAGACTACTGAGGTCCTGGAAAGAGCTTGCAATAGAAAGGCAGGATGTCAGGCTAGTTTAGCACTGAGCTAACTAGCTGTCACGTAAATATGATTACATCTAGTCCCAGCCATGAAAGCTTTCCAGACTGCCTTAGGAAATGAGACATACACACCAGGAGGTCACATAAGGACACGGATGTTTTTCGGCTGTAGATGGGTAAGTGTCAAATGAATGGAAGGCCAATTTGTTTTAGAAGAGGAAATGATGCTTGATTAGAATTACCTCACCTACTCTTCAAGGGGAAGAAAATTACACAGTATGTAATCTTGTGATACTATGTTGCTTTGTACACTGTTCTGATGCTGGAAGCCATGCCACCAGTATTTCAAATGCCATCAGAGTCACACATGGTGGATGGGTTTTCATCAGAGCTTCCAGACTAAGACAGACGAGGCAGAAAGGCCTGGAGTTCTGCTTTAGAAATTTAGCCTGGTTCAAAGCAGAATACTGTCTGATACAGTGCTGGAAGATGAGCTCCTTGGGTTAGAAGGCATGCAAAGCATAGCGGTGGCAACATTGAAATCAAGCAAACCAACCATAATGAAATGGTGCAGGGTTAGCAATATTTCACTGTTACACATGGGTCGTCATGAGTCGGAGCCAAAGTGATGGCAACTAACAGGAATATAAGCATGAAAGGAAACCGTGTGATGAGATTCATGTTGTTCAAAATCATCAGAGTCCCTTCCTCTGTGTTCTTTCATTCATCTTTTCATTTGTTAATCAATAAACGACAGTCACTGAGCCCCTCACAGTCACTGAAGAAGACAAAAAGCTGAGCTCTGTGTAACACCATTTTTCCGGGGGAGATAGCAAGCAAGTGCAAGATGATAGAGCAATGTCGCTGTGCACAGGGAGCAGGAGGGTCATGGAGCAGAGGCTGCCTCACAGATAGGAATCTGGTAGCTGTCAATTGAGGAGTAGTCACTTCTAAGAACAGGTTTGTCGATGGGTAGAGATTGAAACAAATCTTTTACAGTTTTAGCCAGATGACTTATCCATATGCCAACTACCTTCTATGGAAGCACATTTTCCATTGCATCTGTTTAGAAATGCCATTATTCTTAAGAGAACCTCAAAATTATAAAGCACAAGCTGATTGATTGGTTCACATTTTCATATCTAGTTCTCAAGTTTTAGATGATTAATTATACTACATAAAAAGTTGATTTGTAAACTCTAAAGTGTGTGATAAGTGTTAATTATCTTTATTGTGGATTGTAATGGGCATTAGAAGCCTCTTGTCCAAAGTGACCATTTTACAGATCAAGAAACCTAAAGTCAACCAGCTTGTTTGGGCAAAGACTTGGTGTCACTGCTGGCTAGGATTCCATGAGAAGGCTTTAAATTTATACCAGTGTTCCTTACGATTCTAAGCACATTAGATTAAGAGTTTCGATTTTGGCAATGCAATACTTAGACTCTTGGTAAATTAGAGATTGTGATATTGCACAGAAAATTAGAAGTTCTCTTAGTGTTTCCTCTTTTAAACCAAAATCGCCATCTGTATGCCCCAAACAAAAGCAGAATCCAAAGGTCAGATATAAGTGGAGAAAGAAAACTGACAAGTGATGGGAAAATGGATGAAAGGAAGCGAGTGGAGTGGAGGTAGGAAGAGAAGGGAGCTTTTCTCAGTTGTACATGTCAGTCTCACCGCTGTTGATCTACAACTAGGCTAGTGGCCAGGGTGAGAGTAGACCAGTGTTAAAGTGCACCACCATGCTCACCTCTGAGGGCACTTGAGAAAGATCATCAGCACACAGGAGAATAAACCAAAACCTTTCTGTCACAAAACAACGATGGTATTGCTCAACTTGCTTCCCCTCCTGCCTTTGGCACCCAAAAGTTCAAACGCCGTGAGCCCCAGACTCCTTGAAGCATGCTGGTGGTTCCTTGTACCCTGGCTTTGATTTTTCCACATCTTCTTTATTAACCTCTTGTCTAGGTGCATTCTGCTGTAAACAACCGCAAAACTTTTGGAACCAAAAATGGAAGATAAAGTCCAGGAATAGATTTATACAAAAAGAGACTATAGAAATGACAGAGCTTGTTTGATCATGCTCCGGCAAGCGACAAACAGTCTCCAGATTATCACAGAGCATACCAACCCTTTAGGTTACAATTCCAACTCCCAACTTACCCACAGTGTCACACGGCTCATCTTTATGAACACAGAAATCAGTCCTAAAAATTAATAAAAAAGGACAAAGTCAGGTTCATGCAGTACCCCCAAGAATGTGAGAAGAAAACACTATTTATTCATTCTGATTAGTTACCACATCCAAAGCAATGCCACCACTGGAGTTATCACTGGTTGTACAAAAAACAATTAATAGTGTTTATCAAGAGTAGCCCACATTCCCAATGATAAGCACAGGTACACCACAGAAGACTCCTTGCATAGTTTCATGGAGGCATATGTAACTTTCAGGTGTTATAAGGACTCCTCCAAACAGCTGAAAAGATTCTGGAAGATGTATGCCAAACCCTCTTTCCTGGAAGAATGACCAGTCAATAAATATCACTGTATAGCAGTGGCTTCCCCAAGCTACCCCAATTAGTTCTAGACTGTGTGCTCTCTATATAAGAGGGAAATGAAAATATCACATCAAAATTATATTCTTGAAGCCTCACAGGTTCCCTCGGGAATGTGGCTGTGGACAAGTGACCCTTGAGCCTGGTACAGCCCTAGCTTGGCAGGTGACAAAGGCTCACCCTGACCTCTGCTCTCCCATATGTAAAATGAGGAGTCTCAACCCATCAGGCTAATTTCTACCATGAGGTACTGCCCTTCCTGGCACTGGATGAGGAAAAGACATGGCCTGGTCTCAAGTATGCTCCTCAAAAAGCCTTGTCTGTGTCCAACATTTCATGTGACCCACAGGTGGTCTGTTAGAATACACCCAAGTGCACAGATATAAGAAGTGTTTTTTTTTAAATAATTAAAAAATAATAATTTTATTGGGGGCTCGTACAACTCTTATCACAATCCATACATATAATCCATTGTGTCAAGCACATTTGTACATTTGTTGCCATCATCATTCTCAAAACCTTTGCTTCCTGATTTATTTAGCCCTTGTTATCAGCTCATTTTTCCCCTCCCTCCCTGCTCCCCCCTCCCTCATGAACCCTTGATAATATATAAATTTTTTTTTACTTCCCCTGGCTGCAAACCTTTATTTTCATTTTTTTCCTGTCATTTTTTTAAATCATTTTATTAGGGGCTCATACAACTCTTATCACAATCCATACATACATCAATTGTGTAAAGTGCATTTGTACATTCATTGCCCTAATCATTCTCAAAACATTTCCTCTCCACTTAAGCCCCCGGCTTAGGTCCTCATTTTTCCCCTCCCTCCCCGCTCCCCCCTCCCCCCTGAGCCCTTGATAATTTATAAATTGTTATTTTATCATATCTTGCCCTGTCCGACGTCTCTTTTCACCCACTTTTCAGTTGTCCATCCCCCAGGGAGGAGGTCACATATAGTTCCTTGTAATCGGTTCCCTCCTTCCTACCCACTCTCACTCTACTCTCCCAGTATCGCCATTCACACCATGTCATTTTATTTTTTTTAAAAAACTGCTGGAAAGGTAGAGCTAGACATTCACGGTTGTCACGGAACAAAGCTGTGAACCTAAGTGGCAGATCACAGCTCTGGCCACACCAGTCTATTTTGGTGGGGTGTACACATCCCCCTCTCTGACACTCAGAAAGGCCCCACTCGCGGTCATTCAATATCCTGAATCCCCCCTCTTCCCATCACCAAAAACCACTCTCGGGGAAAGATTTGCCCTGAAATCTTCCTGGCGGTAATGACTAAGAAGGCAGTGTACTATTCTGCTGATGTCCTCTCGTGGAGTGAACTTTCCCTCTCCTTCCAGACAAATCCACAGCAGACACTGTTGGGTTCTGTCAATAAGCTGTAACCCACCTCTAACACACCTCAGCACTAAGTGAACTTCTACAAAATGGAGCACACCTGGACATTTTCAGTTCTGCATTGCTTCAGGCCCACCTGAGAGCTGTTGAAAATAGATTTCAGAGGCCCATTCAAATCCTCAGATACCAAATAGGTAGGCTTAAAAAGTTCCACTGGGTTCTGATATACAGAATTTCAGATTCCAGCCCCTGGTCTCAGACCAAAGAAGTGCTACCAGGTATTCCAGCGAAAGAGTCGGCAAGCAGTGTGAGGCGGTGGCAGCTCTGAAGATGGCTGCACAGAACTGACCAGAAGCACTCAGGATCAATCTTGTCAGCAACATGTGTGGATTTGTTTCTTTGAGCGTTCTCATAACAAATGTATACATTTTGCTTAATCTATTTTGAAATGATTTTAACAAAGAAAGCAAGCTGTCAAGACTCCAAGATGTGTCATAATTTCATTCCACAAACAAAGGAACATCCTAGAAGTGGTGAGGGAATGCCAACAGGGAGCTGACTGAGGGAAACCATGACTGGGTTTCTCTGTGAAGGACTCCTGTTTAAGACAATCAACAGGCAGCACAGGGTGACAGGAAGAAGTACAGACAGAGAGGAAACCAGACCAATAAAATAAGGGACATAAGTATCCACACTCTTCTGATATTTATCTAGCCTCAACCCAATACAAATATTCCTTTTCTGACATGCTTCCTATGGGAACATTTCCCTCCCTCCTGCCCTCTTTTCTTCTCTTTCTCCTCTCCTTTTTCTCTCTCCTCTCTCCATTCTCCTTCTCCTTCTTTCTCCTTTCCCTCCTCCTGTATCTGTGTTTTCCTCTCTTTCTCTGTCACACACACACCACCACCACCACCACCACCCTTCATTCGCACATTGATAAGAAGGCCAGGGTGGCTCAAGACCTTGGCCCAGAACTTCCCAGTCACACAACAGTGTTTGCTGAAAGCTTCATTCTGGGGCGTCAGTAAGTTAAGAGGGGAAAGGGGACCACGGCACTAAGGCAAGGTTGCTGTGAGTCAGAAGCAACTCAATGGCAATGAGTTTAGTTTTGGAATTTGGCCCTCATTCTAGGTGGTTTCTTTGAGATAAGCAATGCAGTTGGCTGATGGACACAGGTGCTACATTTTTACCTCTCCCACACCACATCCTCCCTAAAAGGCATCCCTCATTGCTTCTCCTGAGGAAGAAAGGAAACATGGGGTCCACTCATGGAGAGCCAAACTTTATCAGAGGCCCGTTCTAAAAAGTCCATTCTAAATATGAGTCTTCTTTCTGTCTCAATCAGTGCTTTCACCAAGAGCAAGAGAAAAGTAAGCCACCTGTCTGTCAAAGCTCCTTCATTCTAAGGAATCCTGCTTTGTTCTAGAAAAATGCAGAGCCACACACCTTGTATGTCGTCTCACTGCCAACTCACACCGAACTTACAAAGCAGGGCAGACAGGCTTCACTTCAAAAAGAGAAACGCAGAGGGTTTCAGCTCTGCTCCTCCCTCTGTCCACTGGCATCACTGCTCACTCCTCAAGAAAGGAAGGGCAGCCTCTGGACATGCACAATCCCACAGCACTCCATGCCCAGAAGGTCTCCCATGGGCTTACTGTGCTGCTATTGCCACGGGGGCAAAGCAGGTTACAAACTGGACACCCACACACAAAGTCAGCAGTGTTCGCCCATCAGATGCTCCACAGGAGAAAGACAAAGCTTTCTACTTCCGTAAAAAAGTTACAGTCTTGGAAACCCACAAGGGCAGCTCTACTCAATCCTATAGGGTCACCATGAGTCAAAGTAAACTCGATGGCAGTAAAATTCGTTTAGTTTGCTTTGGTAGTCACGTTGAAATCCTTAATAACATCTGAACATTGGGCCTCTCATTTTCATTTTGCACAGGCCCTAACAAATGAGGTAGCCAGTCCGAGCATCGTCTACTGCCTTGCATGCAATGTGTTAATTACCACTGAGTTGGCTCCAGTTCATGTAAACCTTATGTCAACAGAACAGAACAATGCAGTCTTGAACCACCTTCATAATCATTGCAATGCTTGAGCCACTGTTGCTACTGTGTAGTGTCAATACACAAGACAGGGTCTCATCTTCCAGCACTCTCCTGGACAATATTGTAAGATGTGGAGGTTTTATTGGCTAATTTCCAAAAGTGGTCTGCCAGGCCTTTCTTCCTAATCTACCTTAGTCTAGATGCGCTCTGCTGAAACCTATCTAACATCGGTGACGCTGCTAGTATTCAAAATACTGCTGGGACACCTTCCGGCATCAGAGTCAGAAGCCCCCAACTAGCTCCTGAAAACACCCGCTTGTCAGTACATGATTATCCAGCCAGTGTGATCCAAGAATTACAAATAATAAAATCTACATTTGGAGGAATGAACAGGCTTAGAGCCTACATCCTGAATACCTGGTTTGTAGGAGGCTATGTATGACAGTGGAAGCCCAAAATCCATTTGCAGAACCCCTACATAGATTAAGCCTCTGTAAATACCCTCTGACCATAGTAGAAGGATGGGAACAGTTTGGGTATCACACAGAGAGCACTATAAAATTGAGTATGGCTCATGTAGTTAGATTCAAATGTAGCACCTTATCACCTGATCTGTCTTTTGACCCAATTTAAAGTTGGTTTAGTTTTTAATATTTTTGTTTGCTTTTTTATTGAGGTTTTTCTCTGTTTTGTTTTGTTGTTTTTCTCTCTCTTTCTCTCTTCTTACTGCTAGTGTTTTGTATGGTTTTCTGTGTGTGAAATCCAGGATCGGTAAATCTATGGAGACAATAACTGGATCAAGAATTACCTAGTAGCATAACAGGGGAGGTTGTGGGGAAATGAGAACCAAGAAAGAAAATGTTCTGAAATTGATTGTGGTGAGAGTTGTACAACTCTTCTTGATATGACTGAACTATTAAATTATGTATGTGACTATATGCCGATAAAACTAAGAAAAGCAGTAAGGGAAAGACATGATTATCCAGACCTTGAAAATTGCAGCTTTTAGCCAGTAATTACTAGACAATGCTTATCAGCCAATTAAGTTTCCTACCTGAATGCCAATGCTGGTTCCCACTTGTGTTACAGGAGGGCTTCAATATCTGGGAGGACATGGTGAAGGCACCTCTCATTTATCCTCCTCTCAGAAGGTGAGAGGAATCATGAGTGTAGATGTCTATCTGGCAGGGTCAGCATGAAACAGAGAAACAAAAACGGGGCAGCAGGCAAGAAAGCCATTGCAAGATG